TCACCCTCACTTGGAAAGCAAAGATTGTTCATGCATTTACAGCCGCAAAAGTGGTGGGTTGGGGTCCTGGATGCCGCTGCTGCTGCTGGGCAGGACCCAGCGAAGGAACGAAAACCCATTTCAGGCACAAGGAGAATGAGGGCAAGGAGTCCCACCGGGCTCACGTGGCTACTGGCATCACCTTTCCGCCCAGCACAGGAGAGGTACGAGCATCCCCGCGCTGCCGTGGCCATGCGCCCGCGAGAGGCGAAGGGGCAGCACCGCCAGGCAGCCCCCAGCCAGCGGAGCTGAAGGAGGAGGAGGATGGAGACAGGCGGACCGGGCACCCTGTGCGCTGGAGGAGGATGAGGATGATGCAAAAGCCGGGTTTGTCGTTCCCTTCTTCCTTGCCGCAGCCTTTGTGGTGGGCTGAAGGGTGGGGGTGGAGGAGAAAAGGGTTTGGCGGGTGGGTTTGGGGCAATTGGGTGCTGTGCTCCTTTTCTGTTGGGTATTTTTGGGGTTGGTGGTGACCAGGGGAGAAGTTCAGTTTGTTCTTGGAGGAAAAGGGAGGGTGAAACGCTCCCGATCGCTGGGGGCATGCTGCAAATAACCACGGCTTTGCTGGGAGCCGGAGGGTCCCACTGGCATCATCTCAATCACTTTAAGTCTTAATTACTTTTTGCTGCTGGGTCCAAATGATAATGTCCTCACCTGGACAGGACCAGGGGGTCATGGGCTGCCCTGATCTCTGCAGCAGCTCTGGCTCAGCACACGATGCTGCGAGCCCTGAGTGACACCGGGACCCCAAACCCTGCCACTGGCTCTTTTTAGCTGCCGTTATTGCAAAAATCAGGATCGATGCAGGTATCTGTCCGACCCAATTAGTGGCTTCCTATTGCTTTCCATTTATACCATATATCCATTTTCGGCTCTGGGCAACAACTTCCTTGCAGGGTTTGCTGCCAGTGCGGATTCTGGTGGGGGGACAAGGTCATTTATTTATCCGTAGGAGCAGACTGAGGTTACAGTGCTGAGCTCTGGATGTTGGGTCAGGGGGGGCTCTGCCTCTGTCCCAGCACTTTTGGACAGTCTGGGAAAGTTTCCCATCGATTCAAGATCGAATTGTCTTTATCACGTTACAGCCACGGTAAGCAGGAGGGTGAGAGCAGGGAGGATGGCTGCCTCCCCCCCGTCCCCTTCCAGGCGCCCTGATGGAGCCGGGATGCTCGAGGGGAAAGGGGTCACTCCATGCACCCGCACTTACTTGCCCTTTACAAGTGCTTTGTGTCTGTCTGTCCATCCCCCAGCTGCTTCCTAAAGCGTGTTAAACACTTTGCAGTTGCAAATGCTTCGTGAGTCCCAACAGAGAGCAGACCACCAGCCTCCAAAAAGCCCATTCAGCATCCCCATAGTCAAAAATCCATTTAAATCTTCCTGAATCAAGATAAAACCCTGACTCAGAGCGCCAGGAAGACGAGGAGGGCTCAGCTGCAGCAAAGCCTGGCCCGGACCCAGGCTACCGCCAGCTCCCTTCGGCAAGCAGCCTGCATCACTGCAGAGCTCATTTCGCCCCATCTGGCTTTTCCTGCTACCTGTGTTGGGCTGTGGCAGCTTTTATGGGACACCAGGTGTGGGACCATGTTGGCTCCCTCCTAGTAGCAACTCGCCCTCGCTTGTTATTAAATTACTTTCTGACCTGGTTAATCCGTAGCTGATTAATTTTGGACTCTATGGCTGGGTATCAGAGGTTTCATCTGTCTCATGGCGTGTACTGTGCGTACTGGGCTCTCTGTTAATCTGATTTATATATATATATATATATATATATATATATACACATATAAATATGAGTTGAAGTGAGGTATGCAAACTGGGGAGGATTAAAGGGGTCTGGCTGGGCGTGATTCTCTGCCTGCCACAGGGGTCGGCAGTGAGGGACCCCTCCCCAGGAATCCAGTTTGGGATCTTCCTCCTGTGCATCTTTTCCTGCAGGGCTCCTGCTTGGCCGTGGAGCACATCAGCAGCTCTGGGGAAACTGAGGCACAGAGATAGAAGTAGCCCGTAGGAGTTGGTGGCCGCTGGTTCAGGAGGATAATTTCTTTGCTGGTGCAATTTGTGGATTTAAATGTTGGGGCTTATCCTGCCCCCCTAGCCTAAAACACATTCTAATCTCTCCTTTTAGAGCAAAGGTCTTGTGTGGGGGTCTCAGACCAGGCTGCTCCTGACACAGGGCTCCTTTGGGGCTGTGGGGCTGGAGGAACCCTGGGCTCGCCCTGAGCCACTGTGTTATTTCAGAATATTTTGGCCTCTTTTCCATTTCTCTGCTGTTCCCACACTGAGGACTTGAAAACAGAAGCAGCTTTTGCCAGACCCCTACCAGCCCCCCGAAGGTTTGAAATAATTCTTTCCTACTTTTTTATCATTCATGAATGCTTATTCCCTCACAGCTGCACACCTTGAATTTAAAGAGGTCATTCTGGAAATGTCTCTCACAAGGAGGGGGATGAGCCACAAACTTTTGCAGGATCTTTCCTGGCAGCAAACCCCAAAGCTCCTGTTTTATTTCCAGGGTGGGAATAGTTCCTGCCCCACTCCCAGCCGTGGTAGATGCCCTGTCCACCTCACTAAGCCCCCAAGGATTCTCCATGCCTGAATCAGAGCTTAAATACCCCTTTAATTATCACCAGCCCTCGTTTCATTAGCCCCAGTGCCAGGGCAGCCTGTCCGGCCGGAGCTGGTCCATAAACCCAGCCCTAAATTGAGGGCTTGGGGGTGCATCTTGCACAGCCGTCCCCCCAATCCAGCTGTCCCTGATGCTGGGGGGGGTGTGGGGGTGTGTGTGTGTTGCTAATTGAGGGGCACTTCATGCAGGGCTGAGAAATAAGAAAAATTCACCCCAATATCTTAAGCGGCCACAGAGATGCCGTGGAGCCAATCCTGCTCCGTCCAAGAGCCGCGTAGATGAAATAGGAGTGCTGAACCCCGGCTAATTAGTTCTGCTAAGAAAGACGGAAATTAGCAGGGGCTCATTACTGCAGTAAATTGCTCTGTGGACAGAAGCACATGCCTGGTGCACAGCAGAGCCCAGCAGATGCTCTGCTTTGTGGAAGTCTCTGTGGGCATCGTTTTGCTTGAGAATTAGGGGGAAAAAAATCAAATGAAGTGCCACTGCTTCATTACTCAGGAGTGCAGGACCCCTCCTGTCTTCTCCTCCTTGTTCCCACCCTGGTCCAGTTCATCCCATGTCAGATCACAGGGGAAACAGGTGTGACAAGCTTGTCAGTCCTCTTTCCTACAAGGAAAATGTAGGGACCTGCTGCAAACCCCCCTCCTTTGCCAACTAATCTCTCTGCAGCGGGACAGGCTGCGGGATGTGTTTTATCTCCCTTCCAGCGGCAGAGCTGTGCGTGCGGAGCTGCTGGGCAACGATCCCGGACCAGTGCTTACTGGGTGCCTGTCCATCCCGGATGCTGGACACCCTCGGGGCCAAATTTGTCCGTGAGATAAATCCCAGCAGAGCCAGTGATGCTGGGAGCGTGGAGCAGAGGATTAGGGGGAAAATAGTGCAGGAGAAGTGCCTGGGGCAGCCTGGCTTGGGAGGTGTTGAAATCCTTAGGGACCAAAGGGTGTTTGAAGTCACCTTGGTTGAATGCAAAGGCAGAACTTTCCTGAGGGTGTCCAGGGTGTATCTCCAGAGGTGAGTTGTGTAACCGTCCTGTTTCTTGGAGGCAATGATGTTATTCCGGGCATCTCCCCCTGTGCCCATCTCCCCTGGACTATAGCCCTGCTTCGACTTCAGGGACATTCCTATTACCCACAGGATTTTGCTCGAGCTGACTTCTCAGCCCCAGCACAAACCAAATCATCAAATAGCAAATATAAGCACTGTAGTCCATAGGGGTGCAGAAGGGGGTATATAAAATGATAACCCAACCCTGGAGGGCCTGGTCAAAGCTCTGGATTATGTTGTGTCCTGTTTCCATCGCAGATGGCTGGAGATAAGATGCTCCAAGCTGGCGGGTCCTGGACTCTCCTCTGGGACGGGGTGATTTAATGTGCTCATTAACATCATGGGGGGAGGAATAGCTCAGAGGACAGAAAAGGATGCTGGAGGGAGGGAAATCGAGGTGACTGGGTCCCTCAAGAGCAAAGGAGGAAATTCAGGCTGAAGCACGCGGGCAGAAATGTGCCACCCCCTCCTCTGCTTTCCCCAAACGTGGAGGCCTGAGTGGAGATGGAAGAAGAGGAGAAGGAGGGCGGGAAGGTCACCTGGGTGAAGGTAGAGGTGGGACCCAGCCCCGTGTGAGGCCACCCAGGAGGGATGAAACCACGCTGGAGCACCCAAGGTGAGGATGCCTGTGAGCGCAGCAAGCTCCAGAAAGGAAAGAAAGAAAAACGGGGAAAGAAAAAAAAAAAAATCCCAGTTATTTCAGTGAATCGTGCCAACCTGCCCAGTCCCACCCAGGGCTTTTATTTATTTATTACCGGAGGTTATAAGCCCAGCAGTGCTGGGAGCCGAGCCAGAGGCCAGGCGGCGGCCAGGCGTGAGAAAGGGGCACCCCCCCTCTCTCCCTCGCCCCCACCGATGCCCTCCGCGGGGCTATGCCAGCTGTACCCGCTGGTGCCTCCAGTCCCAGCCCCCCCGGGGGGGACACGGAGATGCCCCATGTGGCGGTGGCGCCGTGGCCATCCCCTCCTGGAAAGGAGCCCGCTGTACCCACAGGCACAGGCAAGAGGTAGGTGGGCAATGGGGGATGCTCCAACCCTTGGGCTTTCCCCTCCCCTCCTCTCTTTACTATCTTTATTGCATATTAATAATAAAAAGAGCCCTATCGCCTGCTGTAAATCTCTCTCCCAGTGCCAGTGGCGTGCAGGTCCCTGTCCTCCTGCTCCACCTCCCTCCTGGGGACCAGGTCAGACCTCGCCACGTCACGGACAAGACTTGTCCCCGCTGCACCATCCGGAGCATTATTGGGGATTAAAGGTGGCATCCGCCAGAAGGACACGTCCCCCGTCTCACTCGCTGACCAGCGGGAAGGGGGTGGCCGGGTCCCCTTTTCCCACACGAGCAGGGAATGGGGACAGGGTGTCCTCTGCACCCCACCAGCCCCCTTTCCCAATGGACCCCCGGCTCTTTTTAGGGGCCCCAGGGCAATGGCAGTGCCGAGGCTCCGCACCGCACTAGATCCCGCCGCTGTGCCTGCCAAAGCCCATCCCCGGCGTGCTGGGCTGTCAATTATACACTGAATCAAATAGAGAAGAGCCTTTTAAATGACATTGCCTGCGTTATCCCAAAGGGACCTTTCAAGGGTATGGCTGAACTTTTTTTTTTTTTTTTATATCTCCCTACACATCCCTATGTGTGTTTAATAACTCTCTTCCCAGATGCAGAGAGCGTTGGCACTTCCACGCCCTGTGCGGGTAAGTCCCCGTAGGTGATGGCGTGGTGGGGGCTACGGGAGGAATCGTCTCCTTTCTCATCCCAGTACATGGCTGATGGGGAGGGGATGGTGGTGTGGGGGAGAGAGGCTCAGCATCTCTGATCTTCTGGAAAAAAACCTTGGAAATGGCCGTTGTTTCACCCAGGAGTGCGAGGAGTCGCTGGGGATGGAAGAATGACAGGTGGGAAGCAGAAGGGAATTGCAGACAGGGAAGTTTCGATGGTTGCAGAGGGGCTGGTGGAAACCACGGCCCCGACTTACTGGGATGTGATGGGCAAAACAAACTCCCTCAAAACGACCTTTCTCTTTTGCTGTCTCTCTCCCTCGGTTGGGTTTTTTTTTTATTATTTTCCCCAGCCAGGGATTTCAGCTGAAGGTTATTGGTTAATCAGATTCTGAGAAGCAGATGTTAGGTGATTTAGGAGGAGAAAACAAGGCAACTTTCTAGTTCAAGCCTCCGCTGGAGCTGGGAGTGTGAGTTGCAAAGCTGTGGGAGGATGTTTTGTGGCTTCAGGCAGCGCCATTCATTTTAGTTTAACTTTAAAATGAGACAGATGGGGTGGTCTGGGGGCATGGGGACAGCTGGGGCACCTACCTCCGGTGACAGGGACATCAGCACATTTTGGGGCTTTGAAGGCAAGAAAAGGGAAGTCAGAGTCCTGCATCCCTTGAGCATCTGCCCCGAGGGCTTGAAGCGGGGCTAAAATGCACCTTTCCATGTCCCAGTGGGGAGGTGGAGCACAACTTTCCACTCTCAACCGTGACCATGACATGGAAATTGTCCCTTCACAGCTCTGTGCCTCAGTTTCTCCATGAGGGATGATGCTGGGGGGGGTCAGTTCAATGCGCATGGAGACTGTGGAGCAAAGCCAGATTTCAAGATATCATGATTTGTTCTGTGACAGAAGGTCTTGGATCGAAGCCATCCTACCAAGCAAGGGCTGGGGAATTTTCTTGGCCGTGATGCCAGTGTGCAGCATTAAGAGTTAAGCACACTTAATACTTAAAATACCGAGATCATCTCACGGCGCTGACTTAGGATGCAGTTTCACAGTCAGCTTTAGCTGCTTTAACTCTGCTCCATGGTCCAGAGAAGCTCCCGGGCACGTGGTTCCCTCTGGGCTCTCCCACCAGGACGGAGGTGTGGTGGAGCGGTTCAGCTCCCCCATCCAGCTGAACACAACACTCCCACTCTCCTGATTCAAACTGATTTTCTTTTTCTTTCTTTTTTTTTTTTTTTTTTCTGATTTAAAAATAATCTTTGGCAGTTATATTAAGAAAAAAAATACACAAGAGGGGAAAGATATGTGCTGCTTTTCCTTTTTTTTCTTGAGTGCTTGTTTTTCCTCCAAAAGATTGAAAACAGCTTTGTTAGGCTCGGCTTATCGCAGTAGCCCTTTGCCTCCCTCCTGATGCTACACGGGCACTGAAGCGTGGATTATCTGCAGCTCTCAGTTGCTGTCTCCCCACAGAAGTTGTGTTGCACTTTCTGCACCCCACCCCGCCATTGCTCCGATGCTACATCCCACCCTGCCCGCAACAGCTTTTCAACAAAGCCACCGAAACGTCCATCCTGAGCTGAGTCCGGCCCCAGGGAGAGCCGCTGTGCCTCGGACAGGCCTGAGCAGGACACGTGTCCATCGCTGGGGCTGAGGACTCGCCTTTAGAGTCACTGAGGCTTCTCAGCTTTGCAGCAGGTTGTTTTGGGTGCAAAATCGTGCTGCTGTTGCTTCCTCCAGGCATCACTTCTGCCCCATTGCCCTGAATATTCCTCTCTAAATGTCCCCAAGTGGGAAAACTGTCATGAAACCAGCCAGAAGCAGCTTTATAGAGATGGATGCCTAAGAACAACCATGCTCCATGGCTTTTTTTTTTTTTTTTTTTTAGGAAAGGAACATGATCTTTAAGTAGCTTATGATAAATTCTGAGATTTGTCCCCAAATCCTGAATCTCATGACTCTAATGAGGAAAGAGCAAGGTTGAGCCCTTGTCTGGGATATGGCTGCTGGCTCCTCTGGAAGTTTTGCTTTCGGGGTTGTTATGCTGAGAGCAAAGACGGAGGATTCGTAGCAAGTTGTGATGTTACATCTACTTCTGCAAAAAATTTGGCTTTCTATAATAGCTTGTCCTACCCAACTTCACCAGCAGTGCATCAGCACGGATGGATGAGTCCGCTTCTGGGGAAAGGGGACAGAAAAACTTCAGAGCCCCAAATGACTTCAGTTAAATAGAGAGGCTGAGGTGCAGCTTGGTCCCCATGGGCAGGATGGTCCCTTCCCAGCACCTGGTTGCAGGAAGCAAAGCCTGTGGTGGAGAGTGTCCTTACCGCAGGACCAGCCCCAGTGCCGCTGCTGCTCTGTGCAGATGTGGCCTAAATTGCGTTGCTATTCTTGGCAGTCGAGGGCATTTGGGTTTTTTCGCTCTCTCTCTCTGAACTTTGCTGGGTAAGAAAGCCAGCGTGCCCTTGGTGATTAGCGGTCACGTGGAGCAGCTCTGTGTGTCCCTCTGTGGTTTCTTATGTCTGGAAAACATATTTGTGGGGGAACGAGCTGAAGGGAAAATAAATCAGGGGGGTGAATTTACTTGGAAAGTGCATTTTTGGGCAAATCTACCTCGAAACATTTCCCATTAACCTCTAATTTCTGTTCGTGCTTCTCCCTGAGGCAGGGCAGGTTATTTCCCAGCTCCATAACTTGGCCTGGTCCCTGGATACTCCTCTTTGACTTTGCCTCCAAGTTCAGAGCAACAGCAGCGGTGTGTGGGGGAGATGTGCACCCAGGAGTGTTTTGGGGACATTGCGTCCGTTGCCAAGTGCCTGCCAAAGCCGGTCTAGGAAAAAAATCTATCCAAAAGATACTCTCCAAGTGACCTGAGCGCTTAGTCCTCATCTTCTTCCTGTGGCTGGGAATATCCGGTCTGCCATGAAGGAGGCCCAGGAGAGCTCTGGAGGACATCACCTCGCCCGCTGCCCCTAGATCGAGACAAGGGGTACCCCTCCGTGCAGAGCAAAGGGGCCTCCAAGTCTGGTGGACATGTCCTTCTCCTCCTGACCTGCTCTCCTCATGGACTGCACTCCCCAAATCCCAGTGTGGCCCCTCATTTGGGAGTTGTTTTCTGGTTGGCCCAACTGCAATGTGCCCAGGACCTCCTGGGGTTTGATCCAATGCCTCTCCCAGCTGGAGGTAGCGCTGCTGCTAAACAGGACACTCATGTTTAATAGCTCCAAACCTTGCTCCAAACTCTGGACCTGCACCTGAAAATGTCTGAAATGACCCCTTGTTCTGCAGGGATGGGATTGCTGGGGAAAGGGCGGGTGGGACACCTGGGTTCACCCCCATCCTCTGCTACTGCCTGACCTTTTATCCTTGGGTGCTATAAATGTGTTGGGAAGTTTAATGATGACAATGAAGCCATGCCAAAGGGCTTGCAGGATCTGGAGACGAACAACTTGCTGGAAGTATGAGGCCTTTGCCAGTCAATGAAATGAATGTTTCCATTTAAAAAAATACAAGGTTTTCTGACCTCAGGTTTGTTCTACTCTTTTCAATCGAGCCAGAAAATACATATGCACAATTCAGCTCTGTCTCCCTGTCCGTTCACTTGCAGATCCTCATAGCGTGGGAAAGATACAAGCTGCCGGCATCCGACCGGGGATTTATGCTGCTAATCTGATTAGTGTATGATGGACGTGTCCAGTTGGAAGGAGATGGAGGTGGCACTAGTCAGTTTTGACAACGCTGATCAGATCGTGGAGGATCCCTGTTATTCAAATGACCTCAGCCCGGCTGGCCAGTCGCGGAAAGGCCACCCCAGCTGCGCCAACCTCCTCTCCAACTTGAGAATCCTCATCAACAGTGAAAATGCCAACAATGAGACCATTTTCTCCAGGTTCTCCGCCGAGTTCAGTGAGCACCTGGTGGGGGAGAGGGTGGGCATGGATGAGGGGGACCAGCGAGTCATCATCAACATCGCTGGACTGAGGTTTGAGACTCGGCTCAAGACCCTCAACCAGTTCCCTGAGACCTTGCTTGGAGACCCAGAAAAGAGGATGCGGTACTTTGACTCCATGAGGAATGAATATTTCTTTGATAGGAACAGGCCCAGTTTTGATGGGATTCTGTACTATTACCAGTCTGGTGGGAAAATACGGCGCCCAGCCAACGTCCCCATCGACGTCTTTGCTGATGAAATCACCTTCTACGAGCTGGGTGATGAAGCCATGGACCAGTTCAGGGAGGATGAAGGGTTCATCAAGGACCCTGAGACCCTCTTACCAACCAATGACTTTCACAGGCAATTCTGGCTGCTCTTCGAGTACCCCGAAAGCTCCAGTGCAGCCAGGGGTGTAGCTTTGGTCTCTGTCTTAGTCATTGTCATCTCCATCATCATCTTCTGCATGGAGACCTTGCCAGAGTTCAGGGAGGAAAGGGAGTTTAAGTCCACCCAGGAGCTTTCTAAGAATCTGACAGACACCTTGTTGGCCCACAGTACCTTCACAGACCCTTTCTTCGTCATAGAGACTGCCTGCATCATCTGGTTCTCCTTCGAGCTATTTGTCCGGTTCATCGTGTGCCCCAGCAAGACTGAGTTCTTCAGGAACATCATGAACATTATCGACATTGTGTCCATCATCCCCTACTTTGTGACACTCACCACTGAGCTAATCCAGCAGAGCGAACTCAACGGGCAGCAGAACATGTCCTTGGCCATCCTGCGGATCATCCGGCTGGTCAGGGTCTTCCGCATCTTCAAGCTCTCCCGTCACTCCAAGGGGCTGCAGATCCTGGGGCAGACCCTCAAGGCCAGCATGAGGGAGCTGGGCTTGCTCATCTTCTTCCTCTTCATCGGTGTCATCCTCTTCTCCAGTGCTGTCTACTTTGCAGAAGTGGATGAGCCACAGTCCCATTTCTCCAGCATCCCCGATGGCTTCTGGTGGGCTGTGGTCACGATGACGACCGTTGGCTACGGAGACATGTGTCCCACCACCTTGGGTGGGAAGATTGTGGGGACTCTGTGCGCCATTGCAGGGGTATTGACCATTGCTCTGCCCGTCCCAGTCATCGTCTCAAACTTCAACTACTTCTACCACAGGGAGACCGAGAATGAAGAGAAGCAAAGTCTGCCTGGGGAGGTGGAACGACTCCTCACCAACGTGGTGACGGGAAATGGCAGCATGGAGTCGCTCAATAAGACCAATGGGGGTTACTCTCGAGAGAAGGCCAAAAAGTGATGGTCAAGGCCATGATGGGACTGGGCACTGTCAGGTGGGATTGGCTGGATAAGGTATAAAACATCTGCACGCTGTGATTTTTTTTTTTTAACCAAATGTGCTGCTGCTTTTATTTTTTTTTTTCCCCAAGACATTTTTCAATCTCTGATTTCCTGTGGCTATTCAAATAAATACCATCTTTCTTATCTCTCTTCCTGGCCCATCAGTCTGTTTTTTATTATTTAATGCTCATCTGCTTGACATTTAGCTTCTTTCTCCATGGTGTCAGAGTGGAATTCCCCACATACAAAGATTTCCCCCATTTACTGGAGGGGGAAAAAAGGGCAAAATGATGTGAAATGCCTTGTTCAGTGGTACCCAGCTGTCCAGGGATGAAGATGAGTCTAGCTCCCTGCTTTTCTTAATCCATTTATATAGTTCCTCCCCACCCACCACTCAGGATCTGGAGCCTGACCAATTCCTGGATCTGGGACTGCTCTGGCTGAAAAAGAAGCTGGCAAAAAATTTAAAAGTTATATTTCTACCAGGATGAGCTCTCTGGTCGACCTGCCTGAATAATTTGGTTGGCACAGCAGGGTGGGCAGTGATGGTTGGGACCAAGCCACCCGGTGAGGGAATTAGGAGAGGGTTGGTGACCAGTTACAGTGGCACAGCCTCCAAAAAAAGGTCCAGGGCACCACAGCTCAACACCTGCTGGGGTTTGTGATGAAAAACTGTGCTCTGAGAGAGGGAAGGGGATTTCTCCAGCAATAAATGCTCGACTTAGGGGTTATCCTGGTGTACAAATGTCCTTGGGGATGAGCCACCATGACCTTGTAGCTTTTATTGTCCCTCATGTTGCTGCACAGAGTAACAAGGGGCTGATGTTTCCCAACAGCTCGGCTTTGCATTGTAAAAAGGCACTTCTGGTTTTCTAAAACATGCAAATTTCCATTGGCACTTTTGACGGGAGAAGCCAGTAACTGATCATTTTGCCATTCTCTCTAATGCTAGCAGGTTTTCTTCCCACAAAAACATTTTGTTCCAACTTCACTGTTTCACTTGGCTTTTTTTGATGTTTCTGCCTACATTAAAATCACAGTTTCTCATGCAGTGTCTACACATCCGCTTTATATCCCACATCTGTTATACTTGATGTCTCATCTCCTAAAGGTTCGACACGATCATTACGCAACATGCCAGCATCTCTGGTTTGCAATTTCATTCAGAAGGAGCCATGAAAGATGGATTTTTATTTTTTTTTTTTTTTTCAAATTCCTGATCTGATGGAAAATGTGAGTATGGGCTTGCCTGGATTTTCCCTGTGGCAGAAATCCCGCAACTCTGGTCTGGGGAAATTGTTATTTTGCCTTAGGGGTCTTTTTATGGACTGTCTTTTTGCATTGAGGTCTTTCACACCCCATACAGATGGATCTGGGATGTGACCAGCACAGTTCCCTCAGGACAGGTTTTTCCCTCTGAGACAAATCCCCCTTTTTGCCTGCTCTCCCTGGTTTTGTCCCATCCCTCCACCATCCTCTTCCTCATCCCATCCTTTGGAACCCCCCAGACTGTCATCCCAGACAGGAGGAGGAGCTGTGAGAGGTATTTCATCTTCCAGCCGTGTTCAAGTTCTCATCATCCGTGGGAATGTGTCCACAGCTGGAGAGCAGCACCCTGAGACATCCCCAGCTCCTCTCCATTCATCCCTCAGTTCTCTCTAGCAGCTATTTTTATTTCATAGCAGGTTCTTTCTCTTTTTCCTTTTGAAAACTTAAACTTTTTACATTCTTTTATTTTTTAGCATGCTCCTCCTCAAACTTCACTGTCAACCTGTCAAAGTTGAAGCACTTTTGGTGCTTATTCCTTGAGAAGTCACCACGAGAAACCCTGGTGGAAAGGTTTGGGTTGGGAAATATTCAGCCTTCTTGCTATGATCACATCGTCACTGCTCCTGCTCTCTTAGCAAACACGGACCAAAGTGGTGCTGGGATGGATGGATGGATGGATGGATGGATGGATGGATGGATGGATGGAAAGAAGGAGGAACAACCTGATTCTTATTAACTTGTAAACTTTATTCTCAATTAAAAGAATAGATGCTTCAAAGTCTGGCATGCAGAAAATATTGTTTATTTGGACTCAACCTTTTGTTCTTGGTTTTGTGCTGCTCCACGGGATCAGTTGGGAACCATATGGGGGAAGTTGAGACATGGGACATTATTGGTCTCCAGATCTGTGAGCTGAGGACAAACTCTGCAGGGATTTCCCCAGCACTTCAGCTTACACCATCTGTTGCAGAAGGCCAGGTCCGAGGGAATTCCCTGATTTATGCTATGAGGAAGGGGTCAGAGGCATTAAACTTTTCCAGACACTTTAGCCCACTTTATTCTAAAGTGAAGAGGAGGAAAACCAGGCTATGAGTACCCAGTGTCAACACTCAGCTGGTGCTTGATGAACACCTACCCAAAAACCCATTTTCCCCCACAATTTGCAGCTTAGTACCTTCCCAAATACAGGCCCAAAGCTCACAGCTCAATGAAACCCATAAAAAGGCTCTTATTAACTCTACTGTTATTGAGTCAAGCCCTAATGATCCAATCTGTCATGCCCCCTAGCACACAGGCTGCATTCCCACTTGAAATTTTGTACTGGCACAGAAAAGGCTAAAAAGGGGACAAGGAACCTCTTTGCTTTATCAGAAGGATGTTCTGGCTGCTTTGTATCCCCAGAGGAAGTTGGAACTTGTGGCTACATGTGAAATATTTATCAGCTAGAATCATCTCCTTCCTCCTTTGAGCTGAGATTTCCAAGCAAGCCCTGGAGCATCCTTTTGCCACCACGCATATATTTCTGCACTTCCCCGATGCACAGGAGTACAGTTTTGGCACCGCAGCCACGAGATGGCACTCCAGGATAGATATTTCCCTCGATGTAGACAGTCCTGGTGTGTTTTCCCCCTCTCTAATTCACGTTTGGAATCTTTGAGCTCGTTTATTTCTTTATTGCATGTGTGAACGCAGATGTGGGAAGGGATGCTTGGCCCACGGGGGATGCTCTCATGGAGGAAGCCCATTGCAGGGTGGTGTTTGCCAGGGCCTCTCGGCACTGGTGCAGAGTAGCTGTGCCAGAAGGGTTTAGGAGCTGCCTTCTGGCACAGGATTTGGGCTGTTGGTCCTGCCTGGGACAAGAACACAACTTCCCTCTGCCATCTCACTCATGGAGAGCTCAGCTACAGCCCCTGGGTGCTCCTGCTGGGTCTTGTCCATCCTGGCAGGGGCTGGTCCGTGGGTTGCTGCTCCTCTCAGCTGTGGTTCCCACTGCATTGGCATCATTTCTTGTTGCTCATAACAATGAGAAAATTTCTGTGATGGAGCCAAGTTAAAGTCCCATCTGCCCAAAATCCGAGCTTGGGTCATGCTTGGGCTGGGCCTGACTGACCCAGCGCTGTGTGAACTCAGTGAGCTGGAGGGACACAGATCACATTTCCACCATCCCACATCATATAGGCCTTTCCAGCTGGCTCAAAGAGAGAGCAACTTTGTCACAGTGAGAGGAGAGAAAAATTAATTCCCAACCCCAGTCGCCTGGATCTCCACCTTCGCATCCCTGTTCCCATCAGGTAAGCAATCCCTGGGCCCCATCAGTGATGGAGCCTCATTTCTCAATGAATAATGCAAATAACCCCTTATCCCTCAGCACAGCAGACATGAAGAAGCAGCAGGGACTCTTGGATCTCTCTCCCAGCCGCCTGCTGAGCACTTTCACTGCAGCTGCTCGGGAGAAAAGAGGCAGCCTCCATATTTAATAGGACTTTATATGGATGATGGTAATTTCCTTTTCAAAAATGGGAACTTCTACTTTAAAGGAATGTAACACAATTAAAGAAGGAACTGTCCTGACCATTGTGAGGAAAAATGATCATAAAATAGATTAGATTTTTTTTTTGGGGGTGTGGGTGGGGAGGTGTGGGGGTGTTGCACAGTAGTAAAGACCATAACTGAGCAGTACCTGGTGTTTCCAGGCTCTTGGTGACCACCTCATAGCACAGAGTGATCACTGGGAAAGGGATGTTTAATTGAGATTCTTTATGGGGAAACAACTAAGTGTAACTGTATTGTTCTAAACTACGGGAGCTGAAATAAGACATCATCACCTCTACACATGTGCAGCTGTGGAGGTACCTCTGTAAAAGCCTCATGATGAGTAAGAGACATCCCCTGCCCTGTTCTCTCGGGTGCTCCAAGGGAAATCTCCACCAAGCCACAACCTCCTGGGGCAGGCACAGCCCTGAGATGTCTTTGGGCTATCAGACACTATGTAGGAGACACAGGGACAAACCTTGAGCCTGGGGATGGGGAGCTACTTGGTCAGCCACTGGTGGGACATGGCTGCGGGTCTGCAGGGATCTGCTCCGAGACAGGCTGTGTCTGGGAGGGTGAGATCATCCTCCCTGGATGGAAATTTGGGGTTTCCAAATTCATTCACTTGATGCAGCCCCAATAAAAGAGCCAGTCTTCACTTCCTAGACGCCCACCCCTCAGTCCCTGAAGGCTATGACCACACCTCCCAAAGGCCACGGTCAAGACTATGAGGACCAAATGCTCCTTAGACACCACAAAGCAGCAAGTGTATGACAGCTCCTTCCTAATTCCTGTCATGTTATCACACATAAATACGCAGCCACTGACTCTGAACCATCAACGCTTTATTTGTGTGTGAGAGATTCCTTGGGGATCTCTTGCTACACCAAAAAATATGGTTGTCGTCTGGTTGTGTGATGAAACCACAGCACTGCTGCCATCGTGATGTATCTAAATAGCCTTGGCCAGTCCAACGCGGTTGTTGGCCCGGTCGAAGATGCTATAGTACACTCTGATGAAGACATCTCCCAAGATCCAGAGGTTCCCAGAGGTGTTCTGGAAGCTGCTGATGCAAGGTCCTTTGCTGTTCTGCATTTGACCAAGAAAAGGTAAATGAGGGTATCTTCACTTGCATTGCTCTGGGGGCCCATGGTCATCCATCCCCCATCTCCCATGGGAAAGGGAGAAGCCAAAGTGACCAGAGCCACTGAAGAAAGTAGAAGGACCTTGAGCGAGGCTCCTGAAACCAGGACCACCTGGCAGCCCCCTTACCTGCTCAGTGTAAGCCGAGGCAGACACAGGATACTGCATCCCTTCGATGACAAAGATGACATCAGGCATGGCAGAAATGGAGCTGCAGTTCACATTATACTGCAGAGAGCAGCGGAAAGAGGCTTTTAGGTGGGAAACAACATGCTTACAGGGCGAGGAATGAAGGGATTTGATTTCACCAGTATAAACTAGAGACTAGGGCTGTCTCATGGTGATCCGTGTGGAGGTATCAGAGGAGCAGGGCTGCTTTGCCATGAGCAGAGATGTGGTTTCCCTGTGTGTGGCAGCAGGCTTGGCGCTGGGCTCTGCAATACCAGGCTGCCTCCAGGGCAAGCAGAGCAAGCCATGGGTGCTCTTACCTCTCCGTACGCGTCCTGCCTGGCCCCAGCTGTGCTCTGGATGTTACTGATGTCAGAGGGTGGCCCAGCCACGAGGGAAGTGCCGGTGTCAACTACCGCTTGGCAGCCCCCACGGCATGCGATCTCCTGGTTGTTCACAATGATGCTGGGGGGACAGACAAAGAAGGGGGGCATTAAATAACCAGCTGGATTTTAGTGATGGTTTTGAACTTCTTTTATAAGAGCTAAAGCTGTGTTGCCCTTGAACCTTTTGCTTTGCAATGCCAGCTGGTATCACCAGCTCCTCTTGCACACATGGGCACTGAAGCACTGAACACAGCCCAGCTGTCAGGACCCAACCAAGTCCAACAAAGTTGGTTTTAGACCATAATTTTGCTCTACTCATCACCAGAGATGTCCCCAGGAGCACAGGCTTTGTGCAGAGAAGAACCGGGCTGTGTCCCAGGCACAAAGCATCCCCATTTTAGGTGACAGTTACCAAAGTACTGTGGATATTGGTCCCTTAACCTTCTGCATCCCACAGCCATGGGGTGTTACATGCCAGTGGAAAACCTCCAATGTTGATGGGTCCAATGTCTCTTTAGAAACAATGGTTAGAAATGAACAGCAGAGCTGTTCTGTTACCTGTCCATGGAGATCTGCCAGTAACCTTGGTAAGAGACAGAGACCCAGCTGATGGAGCCGGTGAAATAAGACTCATCGATGCCCCCGAAGATGACCACACTCCCTGTTGTCTCACTGGATGATGCAAAAAAGAAAAATAGTGGAGGGTTTGCCACGTGGCTTCAGTGCAGGTAGCTTAAACCAGTGGGGCTGCATGTCCCATGGGGTGAGATGCCGCTTGTGATGCCACGGTCACATCTGCTCCCCTCCTCACTAGAGAGCAGCAGTGAGGCAGTGGTACGGCAGCAGTGTGTGCCAGGGCCTTGGCACCCAGAAAAGGGGAAAAAGGGAGCATGTGGCTGAAAACTAGAGAGGTTTCCCTGCAAGTCATAAGCTCCCCAGTGAGTCTGGTGGCCACCTGCTATGAGCCCCCCAGTCTTTGCATCTCGGGACACGGTGACAACAGCCGGATGGCAGCAGTGACAGCAGAGGAGCTGGAGCCACCACCAAATGCAAAGATCTGCATGAGCTTCGTCGGCTGCCTTCCCCAGCCCTTGAGACCCACATGGCTTACCGGGACAGATAGACCGAGAAGAGGTTCTCCTCCAGCAAGCTCTCATTCACCAAATTATCAAACACCGGTGTGATCCCATCAGCAGCCAGGTTTGGGTAGCCCAAGCCCAGGATCCCATCAAATTTGACATGGACAAAAAACTGGCCGGGCTCGGTGGTGCTCAAGCCAAATTGCTGGTTGATGTCCACCAGAGATGCAAGCTAGGAACAAGGAGGATGATGTAAGATATGGATCACTGCAATATCGATGTCAATCAGGTGGAGAAGGCACAAGGGACCCCCACTGGAAATGCCACCGTGACACTCACAGTGACGGTGTCGGAGCCCACGGTGCCCTCCATGGCGCCGGTGCCATACTGGATAGACAAGTTCTGCCCTGTTCTTTTGTAGGTGGAGGATTGCGATGGGTTAAACATCTGATGGTTTTCTAGAAGGTAAGTGGGAAAATCAGAAACGAAGACTTCCAGCAAGGCTAAGCTGTAAGGGAAGCGTGGGAGGAGGAACCTGCTGAATTGCCGTTTAGACCTGCCATTTATTATCCTGCGTTATTTAGCTGTGAGCATTTGCTGTCCCTGCCCCTCCTCCAGCGACCAGGGATCTGCAGGAAACCCCATCACTCCCTCTGGACAGATGGGGAAACTGAGGCACTGAACACTAAGCACATGACCCTGTGGAGTACAGCACGGAGTAGTTCCTACACTCCAAGTACTCATCTCGCCAGTGCATTTCCCAGGTGCTACGGACCCGGCACCATGGGGTCTGCTCATTGCACTGCCTAGGTGCCCCCTGGTCCCCTGGCAATGTCACCCCAACCTTTGGACTCAGTTGTGCAGTTATAAGCCCAGGATGTGCTGCTGGACCCAGCTGTGCCAAGCAGGGAGCCCTGCCTGCCCCTACTTACGGCAAGCCAGGCTGGTGCAGGAGACGGAGGGAACCCAGAGGTTGGAGGAGCCGGTGTCGAAGACCACGGTGAAGTCCTGTGGTGGGGTGCCGATGGAGATGGCCCCATAGTACTCCATCTGTGGGGAAGCAGGACCAAGGGTTGCTTGTAAGGCACGAAAACAAACCTGGAACTTCCCCAGGCTTGCAACCTTCATGGTCCCCTTCTTCATGGAGACACCTTGCTCCTAGCAGAGCTGCTGGGGGCACATTTCAGTGTCCTGGCTCTGTCCAGAGCCACCAGCAGGGGCAAGAAGGGGCAAAGGATGTGAGCTGAAGGCTTTGGGGTAGCAGGATTTGGGTTTGGCCCATGCACAGCACAGACATGGGGATGGGCATCCCACAACCCCCCCCAGGGCTGTGCCGCTGGGGATCAAAGCCAATACTCACGTCAAGGGTGTTCAGCAGGGGCTCAGTGGCCACTTTGGTCCCGTTGGGAAAAGCATGTGGGAATTTGGTGCCAATGTCGTAGTGGTGATGCTGGAAGAAGTGGTGCAGCAAAGCCTTCTCCCTGAGGACCTGTCTCAGCTTCTTCCCCCTTTCCAAGCGCAGCCTGGCACAAGTACCAAAGAAAAAATAAAGTTAGACGGGATTTTGCTGCCTGCAGCTTCTGCAAGCAGCATTTGACACCTTCAATATTTGTGCTGATCCAACAGCAGAAGCCCAGTGGACTCCCCCCAAAACACTGAGTCAGGGATCTCTGCAAAACCTCAAAGCACCTCCAGAAACCAGATCCCTGCCAGGCACCCCCCCGGCCTCCTCTGCACCCCTGCAGCAGCTTTCCCAGACCTCAGCTCCCCTTCTCAAACCCATTAAAAGGCTCCGAGCTCTCATTTTCCCTCTTCAGCTTGACTCGGGTGGCCCGCGAGAGCGATGCTACAGCGACTTACTTGGTGATGCCCTGGGAGAGGGCAGAGGCAGTGCAGAGGAGCACGAGGAGCCGCATTGTGCCGGGGCTACCAGGGCAAACGCCCGGGGGTTTATATAGCCCCTGCGCACCCCACCTGCGGTACCAAGAGCCACCGGGACTGCCGCTGCCCCATCCCCTCCAGTGGGCACCCGGCCAAGGCAGGTGACACCCAGGCACTGAAGGACACGGCAAACATCAGCTAAATTCAAGGTGTCACCCGGCAAGGTGGGGGGACACTCACACCGTGCTGATCATGGTACCCTAACACAGCCCCCGTGCTCCCCCTGTATCCCCCCTCCAAATCCTCCATCCTTCAGCACCCCAAATCCTTCACCACAGCCAGGCACTGCCTGCGTGGGGGCATCATTTTGACTTTTCATTTTGGCATCCAAAGCCATTGTGAGCAGCAGGGGGACACCCCCTCCCCCCCTCCATTTATGGGTGTCTCTCCCCAGCTGGGATGGGGAAGGGGGCCCCACGGGGTGCTGGTATGTGCATACACCCCGGGGAGGTGTGTGCCTGGGGTGTACGCACGTTTTGACACTCTGGTGCCCGCTGTTATCAGCAAAACCCAATTAGTACAGTGGGGTGCAAACAATCTGCGGAAAGGTGACCCTGCAGCACGCTGACCCCTCTCAGTGTGGTTTGCCCAGCGATACGGGGACCATTAAAACCTGATTAAAACTCCTAATGAGTGCCCACAGCGATAACGGCTCCAGGCATCAGGTCGACTTTTGCAGGACACAAAGAGGAGAGAGGGAAGGGGGCGGCTGTCGGAGGTGATGCCGAGCGGTGCGGGATGAGGATCCTGGTGTTATTGGAGCATCATGGCCCAAGCCCCTACACCCCCTCCAGTCGCCTGAAACTTGGTGGCAGCTGCTGGTGTCTCTGCAGGACATAGGGTTTCTCTGATGACAGTGTGGAAAAGCCAACAAACCTTTTATTTTATTTTTTTTTCTTTATGGTTTGAATTTCCTAGCAGTGTTGCCACTATGTAGAAAGGATGCTGTGGGCAGAGCAACCCCATCCCTGTGCTGCTGGGACAGTGCCCTCCGCTGGGGGGGGGGGG